ACTTACTCGGAAAAGTTGCGCAACAGAAAAATCTTCGGCACGAATTTCAGTTGCTCGGCGGACAGACCGAGAATATTGCGTTTATCCGCCAGAACGAGAAACATCGCGGTAACTGAAGGCGTATACCGATCGAACGTACGTATAAATAGGGCAAGTGTGCGCGCACGCGCGTAACAATGCGATTCGTGAGACAACCGTCGGCGATAGGAATGTCGAATCTCGATTGCAAGACGCGACTGACGTCGGGTTTAACGTCGAGAGAAATGCGTCGACACGACCGTCTTTTACCGATCGCGATACGTTGCGTCATCTGCGGCCCTTCCAATTTCGGTAAGACGAACGTGTTGATAAGCGGAAAGTCCGCACGGTCTGCGTTTCGAAAACGTATACGTGTACTCGAAATCTCTGCATCAGCCGAAGTATCGTTACCTCGAGAGTCTGCTCGAATCGATAGACGAGATCGGTTATCGCGCGTTCTCCAATAATCGCGACGTCGTGCCGCCGAGCGAGGCGCTCCCCGGTTCGATATTCGTGTTCGACGACGTGGTCTGTGACAAACAGGACGCAATCAGGGAGTACTTCGCCATGGGTCGACATTCGAATATCGATTGTTTTTACCTCTGTCAAACGTACGCTAAAATACCGAAGCATCTAATACGCGACAACGCGAATCTGTTGATCCTGTTTAGACAAGACGGAACTAATCTAAAACACGTGTACGACGATCACGTGAGCTCCGATATGTCGTATGAAGATTTCTGCGCGTTGTGTCGCGAGTGTTGGCAGCGCAGGTACGTGGTGATAGACAAAGACAGCGCGCTACAAAACGGCAGATACAGACGAGGATTCAACGACTTTGCCGTACTGTAGAGCGATCAGTAGCTCTCGAACGTTCCGAGAGCGATGAGCGACGCGAAAGACACCGTTGACCGAGAGAAGACCGCGCGGCAGATCGCTAAAACGCGTGCATCGATACGCAGAAAATACAGAGCGTTGAAAACCGGCAGTATGGAAAACGAGAGACAATTCAAACCGATCGTCGACCCGTTGAAACAAATAATAATGCCAGGAAGTATTTAATTTTGTATAAAATAAATCGTTTAGTTTTACTTTAACCGAATAATAAAGTAGTTTACCTTGGCCATACTTTATTTTGCCTTTTACCGAAGAAAATAAATCGTTCTCTTTCTCTTTCGTTACGCAAGCGTCCTTGCCGTTAACGTGATGCAGAAGAACGGATGTATTCGACGGTTCAATTCATAAAAATTTTTTATATTCTTAAATTGTGTGAATAAGAAGAGAAACTCGTTCCATGCTCGCTTGTAACTTACAAATTATTTTTTAAAATCGCCTTATCGTTTTAATTATAAACATCAGGTTTTTTATTTTATTTATTTTATATGTGCAATTAGAAAGCAATGATATAACTATAATCTTTTAATAAAATTTCAGCACATATGCATTTTACTTAAAAGATTAAAAGCGTAATGTAAAGAATATAAAATTTAACATTTCTTTGCGACTTATTCTCTCGAGGATAAGTATCAATATCCATTAGAATCATCACCGCGTCTATACTTCGTAGCGCGATTGCTCATAGCTGATTGATTCATAGCTGAAATTATTTCATAATTAACATATACATCCTGAAAGAGTACGCGTTGTTCACCTTATAGTCTGCTGATCATTTTTTGTTGATCGTGCGTGGGGCAGAGCAGGGCAGAGCAGGGCAGAGCATCTCTGCGGCTCTCAGACGTAAATTATCCTCCAGAGCGAACAAAGCATCTCGTGGTATTACGATGGCAAATACAAGTGACTACAACGACAGTGTAGAGAGTGTTACGCTTGGCGTGAAAAAACTGACCAGCGCGGATAAGTTACATGCAGCGACATATTTGAACGAGACTGATGAGACTAGAGCGAACGCCCTCGTGGAAATTAAACGCTGAATCAAGGAGAAAGACGACTTACAAGCACGTAACGGTCAAACGGACAACGATCCCACATGAAATATTGCGTTGAAATTCAGTTATATTTCATTAATTCCGAAGATAAAAAGAAGTCACCTTCAATCCGCGGAAATGTGACGTGACATCTGATATATATTTACTTAAATAAAAAAAGAAAAATAATGTAACATGTGGCGTTTTTGTTAGCGAAAAGAGAAGTGAGAGTAAACGTGTCAATAAATAATAGTAAATAGTTACTGAATAGAAATTTTTTATAATACAGTTCGTTCTCGCAATTATTGTATTTTGCTATTTTTTAATCAAGATGTTTTTCACTTATATAGCGATCGTTTATATCTTAAATTAGTCAAAGGAGCAAGAAAGAATATCTACATTTAGAACACAGAAATGTGCATAATATGTATATAATATACAAGCAAAATATAATTAGATTTAGTTTTATGTTTCGAGGAAAATAAATTATTTCTCTCTTTCTTTCATTGCACAGAGAGACACTTGAGAGCATAATGCACGACAGCGGATGTATGAAATTAAATTTCTAATTAAAATTCGTTGCATTCCGAAATTAGAAAAATAAGAAAAGAAATTTGTATTACTCGTTTTGCAACTAGAACTCATTTTTGTTTACGTCATTTTAACTCTTTAACTAGAAATTAGACATACATTTTAACTTATTAATCTTATATGCTTAATTTATAAATATAACAATATAATTATTTATAATTTTTGAATATAAATTTATCTTACATGAATTCTATTCATATTTAAAATTCGAAGATTAGGCTCCAAT